GACACTGCGTCAGTTCCCTGCTTATTGACATGACATTCTTATTTATTAAAGGGGGGAGATGTTTTTTCCCGTTTTCATTTCAGTCACCAGATGAATGTACAGCATGACTGCAAAGAGTTGTGGGGTTGGACCTCATGTCTGTGAAAGTGGACCGTGCTTCACAGTTGGACTAGATCTAAACCGAATCTTTGTTTTCTGTGTGTGTTACCCGTACAGAATGAGCTCATTGTTAGGTAAGGAACCTGCATACCCTGTCCGGGTCTGTAAATGGGGTAAATGTTTGAATGAGAAACACCTTCCAGTAAGTTCTCTCAGGCCAGCCTCAGTGCTGAAGGTATTTCAGTTTACAAGTAACTCATCCCAATCCGCTACTAATATTCGCCGGCTCACTCCCCCACCCCCCCGACTGACTGCCCATTCATGACAGTCTCTGTCATATCCAATACATATGCAGGGTCGGCACCACAAGAGAGCCTGGAGAGCCATCAGAGTTGTTCTAGCGCCAATGCTGTTCATATGTTTTTATTACGCTGCCCATCTCTGATGTCTATTAATTCTGAAATCTTTATCCCGAGCCCCTCGTTTAAATCTGAATAAAATGGGGGTGAGATTAACGTCCGATTTCTGCTCAGCGAACATGCAGTAAAACTCATTTATGCTCTCAGCCTTGATAGACTGCACGTATCTCAGAACCAGAATCAGGTTTATTGCTGCAATATGCTCACAACACACAGGGAATTTGTGGAGGGTGACTCTCATACATACAGAAGATCAGTGTTTCCCAACCCCGTCTTTGGGGACCCCCAGACTGTCTGCGTTTTTGTAGGGAGGGAGCAAAAATGTGGACTGTCTGCGGGTCCCCAAGGACTGGGTTGGGAAACACTGTGGTAGATCTATAACAGTTAAGACAAGACAAGACACTGCTCACATACAATTTGTTTGATATATACAATGTGCATGTGCGCTACTCCGCTTTGGGGCTGACCGCACAAGCTCCTCCAATCAAACAGCGTGGTGGGAAGGGGCGGGGCTTGTGGTACAGCGTGCCAATGCCAGGGGCTCCTGTGCCCGCTGTGGGCAGCTTGTTTGTGCCCATGAAACGGCGGGTAGCCAATGTTAAATAAATAGAATGGGGATCAGCGTGCTGTAGCTGCATTAGAAAGGGAGAGGGTATTTATAAATAAACTCAGCATTCCTGCATCGGGAGTTGGGGGTGACGAATGGTGTGAGCGTTTATGCCTCCTGTTCTCCCTGCCCGTGGACCGCCATCGCCTGCTACCGCTCAGCGACCCGGGCGGCTGGCCAGCCGGGTCTCGATTGGCCCATCGCTGGGTCACATCGCCCCCCTGGACCACCGCGACTGTGCATGTCGGGTCGTTCACTTTCACACTGATTTCACTGCATATGAATAAACAAACGACGTCGACCGGCAGTCATGTGACAGAGAGGCTGTTCTGCCTTATCGTCGGGGTTTGAGAATCTCGCCATGCTTCCGTAGCCGGAGAAGCTTCTGGAACAGGTAGTGTGGCTACTTCACTCCGCCACTTCGCCTGTGGAAAAAAGGCCCTACTTGTTAGCATTCTCCGATTTGTCCCGCTCCCCCGGCCCCCCAAGTCCCTAGCTTACTATAAATATTTAAGCGGAACTGTTGACATGAAGATAACACTGACAAATTGCGTTAACATTTCAGTGGCGTTCAGTTGGGTGTGTGCTTAGTGTGCCTGTCCTAGTGGCCACGCGTTTTGGGTGTGTGCTTAGCGTGCCTGTCCTAGCGGCCACGCGTTTTGGGTGTGTGCTTAGCGTGCCTGTCCTAGCGGCCACGCGTGTTGGGTGTGTG